TCCTTCCACAACCACGAGTGGTCCATCCGTCCAGATGTAATTCACAGCATTTTCCAGAGGTGGAGAGTTCCCCAGGTCAACCTGTTTGCCACACGAGACAACAGAAAGGGCACGCAATTCTGCTCCTCCCAGAATCACAACCTGGGCTCGCTTGTGGACGCATTTCTCCTCCCCTGGATGGAACATCTACTGTAAGCGTTCCCACTTGTACAAAAGGTCCTGCTCAAGATCTGCAGAGACAGGGTGATCATAATGGTGGCGCTGGCGTGGCCTCACCGACACAGACACACCACGCTCCTGGAGCTGTCAGTGGACATCCCAATCATACTGCCACAGGTCCCATCCCATATTGCCACTGATCACCCAAGACCATGGTTGGCTTCATCACCCCAACCTCCAGTCCCTTCATCTCACAGCCTGGAAGCTTCATGGCTAAACCCCATGGAACTCATGTGCTCTGAGCCTGTTAGGGAGGTCTTGCTTGGTAGCAGGAAGTCCTCCACTAGGGCCACCTACCTGTCCAAGTGGAAAAGATTTACAATCTGGTGCGCTCAGGGCTGCACATCTCCAATGCAGGCGCCCATACCGCTCATCTGGGACTACCTACTGTACTTGAAACAGCAAGGTCATCATCCGTCAAGGTGCACTTGGCAGCCATTTCTGCCTTCCATCTGGGAGCAGCTGGGCATTCCGTCTTTGCCAACCCCATGGTTGGGCATTTCCTGAAAGATCTGGAAAGGCTGTACCCGCAGGTTAGACAACCAGTCCCAGCGTGGGACCTCAACCTGGTCCTTTCCAGACTAATGGGACCCCCATTTGAACCCCCTGGCGACTTGCTTCTATACCTGTCATGGAAGGTGGCCTTCTTAGTCGCCCATGTGACTGTCTGTCCATACCATTTGTAGGGCTTCCATCACCATATTATTTAGGTAGGAATTGCATGATCTAACTGCACACATGTGCATGCATGGTTCTGAAAATCTGAGCCCAAAATTTGTTCTCTCTCCCTAGTTTAAAATCTGCTTCTTGCCTCCTCACCCCTGTTTAGCTTATGAGTGCAGTGGTTTACAAAATTCTCTCATTTGTGAGCTATTTCACTCTAAACAGGTGTCCTCATCTTTTTCCAGTGTTTCAGTATTACTACCTGTTACACTGGTGATATAGTGAAATGTATCCATTATCTGTTTGTAACAGAGAGAGGCCTCCTTTCCCTATTCTTCCTCAACATGGCAAATTCTGAGGCTTCCTTAATGTACAGCCCCAGTACGCAACATCTGTTTCCATATGCTCTTGGCATGCAAGCACTGACTCCCCTAGCATGAGCAGCTTGCTGCAGTTCTGATCACCATGTCTCCAACAGCTTATATTGTTTGATTCCTGTTTGTATAGAGTGACAGTTAGCCTGAGATGTCCCATGAATTACTTTGTAAAACTTAAACCTTACCCTGCTGTATTATGCTGCCAATTCCAAATAGTGTATACCGGTACCCTTCCCCTCAACCCCAGAATCCACCTGCAATTTGTTGATTTACCTCTACTGGAGGCAGTGTGCGACCTGAAGAAGTGTTTAAATGTATTCATTAATGAAATTTGAACATATGGAAGAAGCATATATGTAAATCCAGGGTTACAAGAGTGATTGCCACAGTATAGTATGTGACAATATATCTTATCTGGAAAGCTTTGGCACATGGTGACAGCTGAGATGTACTCAGAGAGAAAACAAAACTGCTTTTACTGGATGTTATTGAAAAAAATTATGAACCTATTTCTGTGTATACAGCATATTAGTTTGTAGGGCAATAGATGACACTCAGAAAAATGTGGTTTCAGTATTTACAGTACAGAATGTGCTTTCATTTTGCTGACACCTACAGAAAGGAAAATATTCTACAGCAACAGATAGTTTCAGTCAATTTTCTGCCTCCTTTCTGAGGCAAAATGTAGTAGTTGTAAAACAGTCTCGAAAAAGGATATTTGCTTGCTGTCAGTTGCCAGTGAGAACTTTTGGGGCTTGCCGTGCTTCTGTAATGGGCTCTTTGATGCCAATTCTTTCCTGACTTTAGTTCGCCTTTGTTCATTTTCTGGTTGCTCTTTGAACAAATATGCAGCTAATTTAGATCATCAATAAACAGAACCAGTGTTGTTAAAATGGTGATGGCTTAATCCATATAATGAACCAAATAGATTATATATAAAAGGTGGTAAGATATGCATATGAATAAGTCAAATTCCTCAAGAACTTCCATTTATTTAAAAATTAAAAGAAAGCAGCAAACATTATAATATTTACAGGCTTGTGAATCTAGAATTTTAGCCCTTTCAGCCCCAGTCTAGCAAAGCACTTAGACACAGGTTTAACTTTAACCACACGAGCAGTCCCCATGATTTCAGTGGGACTACACAAAAGCTTGAGGTTAAACACATGTTTATCAGGGTCTTAATGGAAGGCTTGATGATAAAACTAGCTGGTTGTTGAGAAGAGAGGCAATTTGTGTCAAGAGAGGGGGCATAAGAAACAACTGTATATTAAAAATCAGAAATTTAGACTCAAAATAATGTTTTACATGTTGAGCCTATTAGAATAGGATATTCAGTTAAATATATTATTAGCAATCTTTCAATTAGCAAAGTCCTGTGAACAGGCCGACAAAATAAAAAGCACGAAGGAAGCCTAAAGAGAGCTTTATTGGTTTAACAAAAACGGTTGTCTTTCCATTCTAGGAATTTAGGGTGACCTCATAGTCAGCTGAGATTAATTGGAAACTCAGTGCTGTGTTGCTGGGCATATTGATTGGTTTAGTTGAGAAGCATCCAACTCAATTTTCGATCAGAAATTGGACTAAGTAGTAGCTGTGGGTTTTGTAACATGACTCTTTCATCATTAAGGTAGTTAGATGGGATTTAATTGCAATATTGCCAAACCCAAAAGTTTAATCATGACTCAGCCCCTCAGAATCAACATTTTAAAGAATAATATACATATTTTTTTGCCTTATAGTTTTTGAAACTTTAGGGTTTATTCTTTCAAGCTTTTTCCCTTCAAGTGTGAGGGCTAGAAACTTCTTTTTTTTTTAATGAAAAATGAGATTACCGTATAATCAGCTGACTTCAGGCAACTGAGGCTTTAAGTAAAACACCAAATATTGCAAGATTTGCAATAGAATCATGAGAATTGGCAATGCAGTATTGGGAACTCGTGAAAATGCTGATAATGCCTTCTGTGTTTCTTTCCCATTATTTTTAACCATACTGTCCTGGAAACTGAAACCATTCCTGTTACAGTTGAAACACAACCCTATGTTTGGTGCTTGCTTCTTCTGTTTCTCTTGAAACTAGGCCCATGTTTACTGCAAAGCTTACGAACCTGGACTGCGTTTGCAGCAAAACCAAACCAATGAGCTTCACTGGAAAATCTTTATGCAGCTTAACTCACAGGATCCTTTTATTTTTACACAGTGGATGGGGAAACCAAAATAATCTGTTGAAACGGCTATGTTAGGAAAGTGTAGAAAAGCTTCCTTAGAATGACCTGACTTGATAGCACTAGGAATACCTTCAAAAGGTCACTTCCTTCATCTTGCAATTTACAGTTTGGTGATTTTGAAGACTCAGCAGACATGCTCTAGAACAGTGGTTTTCAAACTTTTTTCCTCGTGACCCAGTTGAAGAAAATTGTTGGTTCCCGTGACCCAATATGATTATATCTTTTGACTAGAGTTTTCATAAAATCATAATATTGCAGTACATTCCAGCTTAACCCACTTTACATAACTAACACTAGACACTAGCCTTAGTAAGCCTATGGTAAGGAGTGTGGGAGGTGGCCCAGGGTAGGGCAGAGGGTAGGGTGAGGGCTCTGTCTGGGGGTGAGGCCTGTGAGGTGGGGCTGGGGATGAGGGGTTCAGGTTGCAGGAGGGGGCTAAGGGCTGGGGCAGAGGGTTGGGATGCGGGGGAGGTGAGGGCTCTGGCTGGGGATGCGGGCTCTGGGGTGGGGCCAGGGATGAGTTTGGGGTGCAGGCAGGCTGCCCCAGGGTTGGGGCCGGAAGACTTCTCCCTGCCCCCGCTTCCCAGCCCTCTCCCTGCCAGAAGCAGCTAGCTCTGGAGTAGCGGCCTCTCTCTCTCTCCCTGCCAGCAGGCAGCTCTGAGCTCTCTTCCCCTGCCCGCAGGAGCATGGAGTTCCGGGGAAAGGGGCCTTCTCTCCCGGCCGGCAGCAGTGAGCTCCGGGGTCAGGGGAGAGGCCCGCAGGAGCCCTGCAAGCCCCAACTTGCTTCCCTCCTCAGTTCCCACCCACCCCCTACCTCTGTTCTCTCCAGGTCCCTGCTGTGCGGCCCTTTAGAGCTGAAGCGGAGCAACAATCGTTATAGTTTGAATTAGCAAGTTACCCAGTGTCTAACATTCCATGACCCAGTATTGGCTCGCGACCTGTACTTTGAAAAACACTGCTTTAGAAGGCCATTAAAAAAACCCCCCAAAACCCCACTTTAGTTTATATATCAATCCTGTTAGAGAATTAGTCCTGGCATCTAGTCACCATTAGTTTTTTAGAAATTGTGACTGTAGGGGCGATTTAAATATAGTTTTGTCCATATTTGGCCAAGGACCAACTCATCTATCAAATTTTCAGTACTGTGCATCTCAAACTTGATGGTGCCATTTCCACAAATGCACATGCAAATTGGGAAATTGCATCTACTGGTGGCCAGTTAAATACACAACTGATCATTTGCACACATTCAGTTACTTGATTTGTGTGTGGTAATTTGTGTGATGGTTGCTGTAATTGCACACAACTGCAGTTTTGATAATCTCTGCCATTGAGCATCTCATGTTCCTTGCGGTGACTTTGGGCACTTATCAACAGATGCTATTTCGTACAATGCCTTCATCTCCTTGAATGTGTGAGAGTCCTTGCAGCCCCATGTAGATAAGTGCATTTCATACAGACTATGGATTTATATTCTGTCCTATCCTTTTCTGTTTTTTCCCCCTCTTTCTAGGTCACCTTTTCTATAAATTTGGAATTACAGAGTCCGACTGGTACCGGATCAAGCAGAGCATAGACTCCAAATGCCGGACAGCTTGGCGGCGAAAACAGCGAGGCCAGAGTCTTGCAGTGAAAAGTTTTTCCAGGCGAACGCCTTCCTCTTCATCTTATAGTGGCTCAGGTAAAAGAAACATTGGAGAAATGGAAATTTACCCTAAACATTTCCTTTGTCTTTCAAAATACTTGAAAACAAAATTAGCTTCTATTAATCTACATTTACAACAGGCTCATATGTAGACACTACAAATTGCAGTATCTTTATGTAGCTATAATGTACTATCTATACTTGAATATAAACTGAGAAAGAGATGATGAAATTTCAAGTGATCATTTTGGAATAAGACTGTGGCTTGTTGCAGCTTTTCTTGCAAGTAGAGTTTAATGTTGACAAACAGACGTGTGTGTGTGTATGTGTGTGTTTCTGGCATGAGATGGAGGAAGGGAAGCCATCCACCAAACCGTCAATAAATATGTTCTTGTTTTGAAATGAAAATTGTAACTGATTTCAGGAGGTAAGAAACATAATAGTTTCAATGGGTTATATACTTATGTCTCAACTCCTTTCTGCAATAATATTCTGGTTTGATTGCCCCTTCCCCAACCCCAAACAAAAATGTTGGCTGTTTAAATACAAAATCCTCTTATACTAATAATTTATGTACAAGTTCATGCCATTATGGAGTATACCCACTACGTGGTAACCAGATTGTTAAGCTTTTTCAGTAGAGGGGCTGTATATTTATCTGTGATTAAGATTCATAATAAAAATAAAAGAAAAATGAATCTTGTTAAAAAAGTCTTTTTCACAGTATGTTCATACAGTTTATTAGGACGTGTTTAATTTTGTTCACAAAATATTTACCAGCTATCCTTAAAAATCTAGTAGGCAGTGTGTTTCCACATAGATACAGGAATGAACAATAATAAAATGAAAAATGTTGACCTAGGAAATATTCTCATGGGACATTTTTGGCTCATGCTTATATTAAATGCAGCATTTTGGAGGTGAGCCCAAAGAAGAGGAAGTAAATTTGCTTGCCTCCATGAAGTATTTGGTTGCATGTTAACACTAACCGCTGTATCTTATGCAAAAATATCAAAATCTGCTTTCAAGGGACAATTTTATATACTGAAACTTGAAATAATTTCCAGAATTCTCCGATTAAAACAACTAATCAGCATAATGATTACCATAAACTATATTTATTGATGGGATTTTATTTTGAAGCTCTCTTTGCAATCTGTTTTCTTTATACAAAATGCAATAGTTGTAGACCTTATAGCCACATTAGCATGTACATATTGACTAGTGTTGGAGTTCATTATGGAAAGCTATTAATCATTAATCTGCTGGGTGAAAAAAGGACCAACAGTGAGATGTAAATTCCACAGATGCAGGTCGAGGGCATTTATATTAACTATATTAACTCAAGAGGCAGTAGTCTCCTATCTAAACAAAAACTGCATTCTCTTTCTGTCTCTTTCTGTTATAGTCTTTAAAGATGTCTTTTTATCCTGAATGTGATAAAGTTCTACTGAAACATCTGCACATTTAGCTTTCAGGGAAATGAGACTCTCTTTGCCAGTGGTGGGACACAGACAGTAATAGTAGCCTCCATTTTTGATAAATGTGGATGAAATGTTCCATGGATTTCATGGTTTCTGTGTCTTACGTTTTCCTCAGAAAATGGTTGATCCTACTTCCTGGGAGTGTTTGAGGTGCTGCGTGAAGCCACCAGGTACCTTCACATCCAGGAACTATGAAAACACTGTTAAGAAAAAGTAGCAAACTCTGGTCAGGCTCTGCTGCTGCTCTGAAAACATTTATGGCATCCCAAGAACAAGTGGGAGCAGTAGTATTTCACCTGAAGCTTCTCCAGCAGCGATTTGAAAAGAGTGGAAGAGGTATAACGAGAGCAGGAAGGAAGGGATAAGAGGCAGGATGAGAGTATAGGGAAAAGGAAGAGGGGAAAGATTTTTTTTTTTAATTGATTCATGCAGTGTTTGGAGGGATGGGGGGAGGAGATAACTTTTGGATGACAGAGTTGTAATTCCATCTCAGTGTTCAGGTAAATACATGAACCACTTAGGCTTTGCTTTTGTGGTTTGACATCCCTGGAACCTCTCGGTTGAATTACAGGTCCATAATTCATAGGCATCTGTTACTTATTATATACACTGTATAATGGATGTGGCAAAATTCCCATTGCCAGCTAGTAGGGAAAATAAGTCATATTTTACAGCTCTGAAGTAATCTAAGGTCTGTATTTCACAGTTATGACAACATAGCTGTCAAATATGGCTTTTTAAAGTGTTACATATGAACCCAGACAACTTTTTATGGTAGCATTTGCTTCAGGGAGCAATTTAAGGTGAGCCTTGAATGGTCTGAAATTCAGCTACTTGAGAAACTCTCTCTTTCCCTATTTTTTGTCCAGGCTGTTAAGATAAGCTTGAGTGTTCCTTTAGTCAGGTCTTAGGATACAACACTATGAGATAGATTGCAGGGTCTTCTCAATACATGTCCTTCCCTCACCTATGGAACTCTCTCATCCTGCTTGTTAGCTGGAGTTGATATATTACTGCTTTCATGTCATACTAAGGTGCACCTGCGTAGACAGATATTTAGTTTAGAATTTTGCTCTGGGCTGGTCAATGAATGTTGCCATTGGGCAACAATAACAGTAATGACTGGACTGTCTAGTGTAGATGCTTCTGTTTGATTTAATTAAATTGTAGATACTGTTAGGTGACTAAGTACAATGAGTGATCTATATAAATAGGTATATAATGTGTATTTTAATTAAACATCATCTACCTTTCGGGTAAAATATGGTAGCTGCTTCACACAGTAGAGGAAGACTATGACTTACATAAAAAATACATCTCAGGATTAGTCTGCCATCAAAAACCATTCAGTTTTCTTTCTGTGTTCACTGTGATGTCATCAAAACATTCTGAAGAGTGTGTGGCCTTATAGCTCAGTTTATTGTGGAGTATTACAGTGATTAGCAGGAGTCGTAATCTTTGCACAGTCGTCAATAATAGTAATTATTATTTTCAATGCACACTTTTGTGCGCTCAAATAAGTAAAAAAGAGAGTCTAAATTTGACAGGATGTGATAAGTGAGGGTCATAAACAGACCAGGAAAGTGGGGTGGGAGAGGAAGGACAAAGTTTACAGTAATATCTCAAAATTAATCAATAAGGCACGGTCATATCTACATAGTTTCTTTAAACTAGTTTCTCTATGTTTCTTTTAATGCTTCATAGGCTTCATAAGACAAGGTGGGTGAGGTAATATCTCTTATTGGACCAGCTTCTGTTGATGAGAGAGACAACATTCGAGCTTACACGGAGCTCTTCTTCAAGTCTGGAAAATGTAGAGGGTCACAGTTGTCTTGTAAATATTTGAGGCAGGCAGCGATGCTGTCATTGTGAGGGATGTTGGTATATCGGGAAGTGACATATATGGCGGTGAGGATGGTGTTCTGAGGGAGATAGTTAACATTGTGGAGTTTGCGGAAGAAGTCAGTTGTGTCCTGGAGGAAGCTGGCCCTTTGTGTAGTGAGTGGTTTGAGAATGGGTTCTATGAGTGCTGACATTTCTTCAGTGAGAGTGTCGTGGCCAGTTATGATGGGTCTGCCTGGGTTCCCTGGTTGAAGGGCCTTGGAGTGGATTTGTGGGGGACGAGTTTGTAGAGTGTTTCTTGGAGGTGTTTGGGGAAAGATTTGATGATATCCTTAAATTCCTGGGTAAATTGTGGTGTGGGGTCTTCTTTGATTTCCATATACTAGGTGATGTCAGACAGTTGTCAGTTGGCCTTATTAATGTAGTCGTCATGGTTGAGCACTATGATGGCACCCCCTTTGTCTGTTGGTTTGATCACTACCTGGTGGTTAGATTTCAGGGACTGTATAGCTGTCCCCTTGGCTTCATGGCAGAACAGAGCTTTTAGGATAGATGTGTGACGGGTTGGATCACAGAAACCCCCCTGGGAGCTGTCACCTGATGTGCAAGGACTACCCCTGCTCCTGTCTTCCCTGCCAGCTCAGAACTCCAGCACCCTGTCTTGCTGAGCCAGACACTCCTGTCTGCTCCAGCAAAGACCCAGGGTCTGAATTACTTGCCCCAAAGCTGCAGGTTTACCTGAAAACAGCTCACAGAAGTGTGCTTGTCTTTAGCACTCAGATGCTCAACTCCCAATGGGGTCTAAACCCAAATAAATTCATTTTACCCTGTATAAAGCTTATGCAGGGTAAACTCATAAATTGTTCGCCCTCTATAACACTGATAGAGAGATATGCACCGTTGTTTGCTCCCCCAGGTATTAATACATACTCTGAGTTAATTAATAAGTAAAAGTGATTTTATTAAATACAGAAAGTAGGATTTAAGTGGTTCCAAGTAGTAACAGACTAGACATAGATTTTACTTTGTTCTATCAAACTAAATACAGATAAACTCATCCTTAGAGATGCTTCAGTAAGTTTTTTCCTCAGACTGGACACCTTCCAGGCCTGGGCACAATTCTTTCCTCTGGTACAGCTCTTGTTCCAGCTTAGATGGTAGCTAGGGGATTCTTCATGATGGCTCTTCTCCTCTCTTTGTTCTGTTCCACCCCTTTATATATCTTTTGCATAAGGCGGGAACCCTTTGTCCCTCTGGGTTTCCACCCCCCCTCACTGGAAAAGCACCAGGTTAAAGATGAATTCCAGTTCAGGTGACATGATCATATGTCACTGCAAGATTTCATTACTCACTTGCCAGCACACACACATACAGGAAGACTAACAGGTAAGCACAGCCATTTGCAGACAATGGTCCTGGTTAATGGGAGTCATCAAGATTCCAAACCATCATTAATGGCCCACACTTTGCATGATTACAATAGGCCCTCAGAGTTATATTCTATATTTCTAGTTTTAGATATAAGAGTGGTAGATTTCTACAAATAGGATGATCACACTCAGTAGCTTATAAGCTTTGTAATGATACCTTACAAGAGACCTTTTGCATGAAGCATATCCCAGTTACATTATATTCACTTATCATATTTTTATAAAACCATATAGACTGCACAACGTCACAGGATGTAAATGAGGTGAGAGGTGGCTTGGT